CGAGCTATTCCTGTCCTAGCTCCTAGCCCCGTCCGACATCCCGTTTCGTCCTTGCTTCGCCAAACCGGTAGATCGGCAGAAAATGAGCAAAAGCCAGCTGCCACATCGAAACGGCCCCGCGCTGGGTCGGGCGATGTCGAAGCCGGAATGGCGCGTCGGAATACCCGCATCGAGTCGGATCGAGTCCGAACCTCGGGAGAGCGTGTCGAATCGGCCCAGCGGCGTTGGAAGGCGCCCTGCGCTGCCCCTGACCACTGAAGGGGCTCAGGGACACACAAATAAATAGGCACAGATCCCAGGGTTCCCTGTATTTCCCATGTTTCCTGGACTCTCGTCCTCCCCTCGACTTCCCATAGTTTCATATGATAGAATAACAAATATTCACACACACACACACACACACACCTTCCTATATGTTTGCATCTGGGACCCTGCGACCCCCCCCCTAAACGGGAACCCCGGATCCCTGGCGCCAGGGGCCCCCTGGACGACTTTGCAAAGGTTCCCCGGGCTTTGGGGACCTCCTGGAAACCCCTGCTGGGCTCAGGCAGCGGGCCCAAATCGATTAGGAGGGCGGCCAAACGGCCCCCCGAGGCCCCAAGAGGCCCCAAATACCCACCAGACGGCCCACAGAACATCCCCAAGAAGATTTCGCAATGCAGGAAAAAAGTGATGCCCGACAATCATGCCAAAACGATCCGAAAGGCCTTCCGGGCAGTCCAAGAGACCCCCAAAACGGCCCAACAGGGCCCCAAGACGGCCGAAGAGAGCCCCATGACGGCCCAAGATGGCCCCAAGACGCCCCTCGAAGTATTCCAATGCGTGACCTGGTCGTTCAGGGAGACCGCAGTTGGAAGCAGGGTGACCTGAGGAGGCCCCCAGAGGCCCCCAGAAGGCGCCCAGGAGGCCTCCAAAGGCTCAAAAAAGCCATGTGAAACTTTCGTGAGGCCCCCAAGCAGCTCTCCAAGGAGGAGCCACCGCAAAAAGAGCAGAGGAGGATGGGGAAGAATTCGCAGGGGAGGGCGAGAATGAGGAAGAGAAAGAGGAAACATGAGGGAAGGACAACGAATGGCACCATTATGACGACGATGTCGGACAAGGCAACGAGGAGTTATCGCTGTATTGTTCCTGCTTCACTTTAGAGCCCGTCCGCCGCGACTTCCGCCTGCACGCCAAACTTCAAGGACCGATGTGCATGGCGCGAAGCGCCAATGCAGTACACTCCTGGAAATCGACAACTATGTGAACGTTCTCTTGCTCGGCGTATATCATGGCCCACACCACGATGTCCACCCCCCTACTCATAACCCCCCTCTTTGCCGCCCCCGATCCAGAGGGAGCCGCGGGGGGCCGCGAAGGCGGGCCTCCCCGGGAATGAGCACGGCGCCGGTGCGCTCGGCGTCCACCTGCCATCCGCGCGGAGGCGGCGAGGCCCGCCTCCTCCACCGCCCGCTGCTGCAGCCACCAAGAGGCCTCCCAGATGGGGCCGGAGCAGGTGGGGTCCGAGGATCGCGCCGCATCGCCGATGCATCGGCGATGCGGATCGATGTGGAGCCCGAGTTTCTCCACGCCGACGTCGCCAGTGCATCACCGACGTTGTCGGCGGATCGGCCGGTCGGCGATGCATCGGCGATGCACGGGCAGCATCATCATCATCATCATCATCATCATCATCATCATCATCATCATCATCATCATCATCATCATCATCATCATCATCATCATCATCATCATCATCATCATCATCATCATCATCATCATCATCATCATCATCATCATCATCATCATCATCATCATCATCATCATCATCATCATCATCATCATCATCATCATCATCATCATCATCATCATCATCATCATCATCATCATCATCATCTCTATCATCATCATCATCATCATCAGCAGCAGCAGCATCATTATCATCACCATCATCATCATCATCAATAACATCATCATCATCATCCTCGTCGTCAGCAGCATCATCATCGTCATCATCACCACCATCATCATCATCATCATCATCATCATAATCATCATCAGCATCATCATCATCAGTATCATCATCATAATCATTATCAGTATCATCATCCTCAACCTCATCATCATCATCATGATCATCACCACCATCATCATCAGCAGCAGCATCATCATTATCATCATCGTCATCGTCATCGTCATCGTCATCATCATCATCGTCGTCATCATCATCAGCACCAGCACAAGCATTAGCATCATCATCATCATTATCATCATCAGCATCATCATCGTCATCATCATCGTCATCATCAGCATTAGCACCAGCATCAGCATCATCAGCATCATCAGCATCATCATCATCAACAACATCATCATCATGATCATGATCATCATCATCATCATCATCATCATCATCATCATCATCATCATCATCATCATCATCATCATCATCATCATCATCATCGCTACTATTTGAATCCTCCTAAAACTCACCACCATCCTGGGAGGGAGTGGAGTCTGCCTCGGGGGAGAAGACTGGGGAGTGGAAGCAGACCCAGAAGTGGTGCGGAGGAGCAGAAGAAGCAGGAGGAGGCGGAGGCGGAGATGGAGGGGAGACAGGACTCAGGAGTGAGGAGGGCGGAGGGGAGGCGGGACGAGGGAGGCTGGAGAGGCGGTGGGGCGGGAAGATGGAGCACAATGAACGACGAAGAAGACGACCACGGCGACGACGACGACGAAGGAAAATGGACTGACGCACGCACGGACGGACGGCGACGAAGATGACGAGAGCGAGGAGGCGGCGGCAGCGACCTCGACGACGACGGCGACGACGACGACGACGACGACGACGACGACGACAAGGCGACGGCGGCGGCGGCTGACGACGCACAACGCTCGACGACGACGACGACCACCACCAACACCACCGCGGACGACGTGCGACGCACGACTACCTCGACTGCGACGACGGCGGCGACGATGCCAATCGTGCCCGCGGGTGGCCCACGAACGCGACGACAGCGCAACCACGATCCCAACGCCGCGGCCGTCTGGCACTTGTGCGGGTGCGCGCCTGCGCCTGCGCCCGGATGCCCAGCGGGGCGCCGTCGGTGCCCTTGTAGCACCACATGGATATCCTCGGGCACCCCGACGGACGACGAACGACGACGACGACGACGACGACGATGACGACGGCGACGACGACGACGGCGACGACGGCGACGACGACGACGACGACAACGCTGCCGACGACGACGACGACGACGACGACGACGACGACGACGACGACGCCGGCGAAGACGTCGGCGACGGCGGCGACGACGGCGACGACCACGCCGACGACAATCACCACCACCACCACCACAGAGACGACGCTCACCACGCAGGACAACGACGACCACGACGCTGACGACGATGACGACGACGACGATGACGACGACGACGACGATGACAAGGGAGACGACGACGACGCTAACAACACTGACCACGACGCTGACGACGACGACCACGGCGACCACGACGACGACAACGACGACGACGACGGCCACGACCACGACCACGAGGACGACGACGACGACGAAGACGACGACCACGGCGACGAGCCTGAACATGGCGATGTCGCTGACGACGACAGCGAGGACGACCACAACGGCGACGACGACAATAACGACAGCGACGACCATGACAAAGACGGCAACGACGCTAACAACGCTGACCAAGACGCTGACGACGGCGACGACGACGACGACGACAACAGCAACGACGACGAGGGACGGCGGGCGACGGCGACCGCGACGACGACGACGACCACAACGACGACGATCATGGCGACGACGCCGACGACGACGACGACGACGACGACGACGGCGACGACGACGACGACGACGACGACGCCGGCGAAGACGTCGGCGACGGCGGCGACGACGGCGACGACCACGCCGACGACAATCACCACCACCACCACCACAGAGACGACGCTCACCACGCAGGACAACGACGACCACGACGCTGACGACGATGACGACGCCGATGACGACGACGACGACGACGATGACAAGGGAGACGACGACGACCCTAACAACACTGACCACGACGCTGACGACGACGACCACGGCGACCACGACGACGACAACGACGACGACGACGGCCACGACCACGACCACGACCACGAGGACGACGACGACGAAGACGACGACCACGGCGACGAGCCTGAACATGGCGATGTCGCTGACGACGACAGCGAGGACGACCACAACGGCGACGACGACAATAACGACAGCGACGACCATGACAAAGACGGCAACGACGCTAACAACGCTGACCAAGACGCCGACGACGGCGACGACGACGACGGCAACAGCAACGACGACGAGGGACGGCGAGCGACGGCGACCGCGACGACGACGACGACCACAACGACGACGATCATGGCGACGACGCCGACGCCGACGACGACGCCGACGACGGCGACGACGACGACGACGACGACGACGACGACGACGACGACGACGACGACGACGACGACGGCGGCGGCGGCGGCGGCGGCGGCGGCGGCGGGTGCGGCGGGTGCGGCGGCCACCACGACCACCACCACCACGATCACGACATCCGACGCCGTGAGAAAACACGTCGGGAAGGTTCTGCGCAGACCGCCTGCCAGACGACGGCGACGACGGCGACGACGGCGACGACCACGACATCGAGTGGCGTGAACAAGAGAGGTCATGGTCGGAGCTCCTCGGGCCACGTCGGTCCGCGAGGGCCCCCTGAGGCTCAAAAGCGGGATACTGGAGGGGCCCACTCGTGATCTCTTCGCGGCGCACAGGTGCTGGCGCCCCCCCACCCCCCGGGCACCAGAATCCGCGCTCAAAGCCGGCCCGCGGACCCCTGCCAGGCAAGAACCCTGACCCCCTGACCAGATCCCCCGAGCCGCGCTCAGCCGCAACGACGGGGGGCGCCCCGAAGGCCCAGCGAGGGAGCAGGAGCGGACGCACTAGAGCAGCACGAGCTGGGGTCCGGCCATGCCGATCAGGAGACTCCTCCTCCTCCTCCGCCGCCTCCTCCTCCTCCTCCTCCTCCTCCTCCTCCTGGCAGGGGCCAGGAGTGAGAGGAAACAAGAGGCGGTTGAGCCTGACGCTGCAGGCGAGACATCGCCCCACGGCCTGCGCAAGAGAGAGGAGGCCGAGGGTGGCCTCCCTCCGAGTGGTTCTCGGGCCCATCCGCACCTCGGGCCTCCGGCGACCATTCGAGGGGATGCTGACCCCTCTGGAGCGCCCCCGACGGGTCGCAGCTGCAGGAAGACACCCCAAGGCCCCCAAAACCTCCAGGGAGCTTCCGAGGACATCCCAAGATATTCGAGGACGACGACGACGACGAGGACGACAGCAAACCCTCAAGGTCTCCGGACTCCGCCAGAGGTTCTCAGAGACCTCCTGGGGCCCTTGGAGGCCCAAGGATTGCCAAAAACCACCGAAGACGAACGACGATAACGACCACGACCACCACCACAACGACGAGAATCCGCCGGCCCCCTTGCGGGGCCATCAGTCTGCGAGGCTTAAGCTTTCTGCTCCCTGCACCAGTTCCTGTTTCCAGTTTCCATTGTTACAGTACTGCTTTCTGCTTCCTACTGTAAATTGTTACTGTCCGCGAGGAGGGGGAGCCGAAAACCGCCCTGGTTAGCACCCCCCGGGAGGGTTCTCAGAATTCCTGGGGGGGGAAAAATTGACACCCCTCAAGCAGATCGGCGGGGTCTGGGTCCAAAGACACAAAGGATTTGCCACATCTCTGAAATTCGGTGGCACCCCTCAAGCAGATCGGCGGGGTCAGGGTCCAAAAACATTAAGGATTTGCCACATTTCTAAAATTCGGTGGCACCCCTCACGCAGATCCGTAGGGTCAGGGTCCGAAAACACAAGGGATTTGCCACAACTCTCAAAAAATTCGGTGGCACCCCTCATGCAAATCGGCGGGGTCTGGGTCCAAAAACACATGGGATTTGCCGCATCGGTGGCACCCCTCACGCAGATCGGCGGGGTCAGGGTCCAAAAACACAAAGGATTTGCCATATTTCTGAAAATTCGGTGGCACCCCTCACGCAGATCGGCGGGGTCTGGGTCCAAAAACATTAAGGATTTGCCACATTTCTAAAATTCGGTGGCACCCCTCACGCAGATCGGCGGGGTCAGAGTCCAAAAACACAAGGGATTTGCCACATTTCTGAAAATCCGGTGGCACCCCTCAAGCAGATCGGCGGGGTCTGGGTCCAAAAGCATTAAGGATTTCCTGCATTTTTGAAATTCGGTGGCACCCCTCACGCAGATCGGTGGGGTCAGGGTCCAAAAACAGAAAGGATTTGCCACATTTCTGAAATTCGGTGGCACCCCTCACACAGATCGGCGGGGTCAGGGTCCAAAAACACATAGGATTTGCCACATCTCTGAAATTCGGTGGCACCCCTCACGCAGATCCGTAGGGTCAGGGTCCAAAAACAGAAGGTGCCACATTTCTGAAATTCGGCGGCACCCCTCACGCAGATCGGCAGGGTCAGGGTCGAAAAACAAATAGGTCCCGACACTGCTTCACGGCAAAGCCAAAGCCTCATGACTTCGCTCTTCCATGGCCCATTCTCCGGAAGAGGGGGCCGGCGGCAGGGGGCGAAGCCCTTACGGATCTCCAAGAGACAACTGCGAGAAGACGACGACGCAAACAAGACGACGACGACGACGACGAGAAAGACACCTAATACAACGACAGGAAAGGCGACGACGACAATCACGACGACGATCATCACGGCGACGGCGACGAGAGCGACGACCACGGCCAAGACCCTGGCGACGACCACGACAACGACCACGACCACAACCACGACCACGCCGACGACGACGGACACGACGACGAGGACGAGGACGAGGACGAGGACGACGACGACGACGACGACGACGACGACGCCCCCGCCGCCGCCGCCGCCGCAGTCGTCGCCGCGGCGGTCCTCTCCGGCACGACGCCGCGCGGCGTGCCGCCGCGCGGCGTGCCGCCGCACGGCGTGCCGCAGCGCGAGGTGGCGGGCCACGACACGGCGGCGCTGCCGCCGCTGGCCTCGTCGGCCTCCTCCGCCGACGCGGCCTGCGGGCGCCCCGCGCGGGTCGGGACGCCTGTGGACGTTAAGAGCAGGGCAGAGGAGGATATGAGATATGAGATACAAAGGGGACGCAGTGTCCCTCCAACCACCCTACGGGCACTAAGGAGGTCCCTCAATGGAGCCCTCGCAGGAGCTCTCGGGAGGTCCCTTGTTGGAGCCCTCACCAGGAGCCGCTCCAACACCTGACTGGACAATCAGGGAGGCATCCTTGGCCCCCTTCGGCAGACCAGCATAGCTCGGGATCTTACCCTGCATGATCCTTGTGAGATTCTGCTGCCCCCTCTTGGTGGGGCAGCGGCACAGAGGAGGGAGGAGGGAGGAGGGAGGCGAGAGGAGGCGAGAGGAGGCGAGAGGAGGCGAGAGGAGGAGGAGGAGGAGGAGGAGGAGGAGGAGGAGGAGGAGGAGGAGGAGGAGGAGTGAGGAGTGAGGAGTGAGGAGTGAGGAGGGCGGAGGAGGAGGAGGAGGAGGAGGGCGGAGGAGGAGGAGGAGGAGGAGGAGGAAGCTCGGCGCCTCCGAGACCTCGAGGCTTCGAGGCCACGGGGGTCGAGCTCCGGGGCTTCGTGGCGACCTTCCCCGGATGCTAGTCTCGGAGAGGCTGCTCGCCGCCACGCCGGAACCGATCGAAAACCTCCTCCTCTTCCTCCTCTTCCTCCTCCTCCTGCTCCTTCTCCTCCTCCTCCTCCTCCTCCTCCTCCTCCTCCTCATCCTCCTCCTCCTCTCCCCTTTTACCACTCCCCCCGAGCCCAGCACTGCCGGCAGCCACCGCGGAGAGGGCGCGCCTGCAGGTGGAGCGTGGTCTCGTTGGCCACTCGGATCGCCTGGATCACCCCGCCCACCTGCAGCCGAGCAGGAGCAGGACGGGGAGGAGCAGGGAGGAGGAGGAGGAGGAGGAGGAGGAGGAGGAGGAGGAGGAGGAGGAGGTTGAGGAGCAGGGAGGAAGAGGAGCAGGAGCGGATGGAGTAGGGCGGGAGGAGGGCGGGGGGAGCAGGAGCGGGAAGGAGGGGGAGGAACAGGAGGAGCGGGACTTCCTCCTCGTTATCCTCCTCCCACTCCTCTCCCTCGTCTTCAAGATTGATACTCCGAACCTCTCGGTGCGCGTTCTGACAACTCGCTCGAGTTGCGTGCAGACGCGGCGAAAAGGGCCCTCTGGGGGACCCATAATCCAAAAAACTCGACCCTCAACCTCCCCCATCCCTCCCTCCTCTGTCTTCTATGCTCCTGGCACCGCGCAGTGCATGCAGGGGGAAGACAGGGCGAGCGACACTGCGTTGGCTGCTGCGTGCTGGCTGGGGCTGTCTCAAGACAAGAGATGGGTGTGGCGCCCTGGCGCTCAGGAGGCTTCGGATCCTGCCGTTCAGGGCTTGAGGATTTCTGCTGTCCCAAGTCTCGCACTGGATCCTGCTGAGTATGTTTAGATGTATCTGGATGCATTTGGGTTCGCCTCCGTTCATCTAGATTTACATCGGCTCACGTTGATCCACATGACGTTGTCTTGATTTCTCCCCATAAGGCGATTAAGTCGTCCAGCCCTCAGGGATCCTCTGCGAGACATCCCGCCGCCCCATCAAGCGCGCTGAAAATTCCCGGAACTGTCATACTTCGTTAGCATGCTGGGCCAATCTCCGGTACACACACCCGCCGATGGGCTCCCTGCGATGCCCGAGGCTCCACCAGGTTCCGAAAGCCGCGCAAGCACAACAACGCCTCTTACCCCGCTTTGCCGTAAAATCGACGGTTTGCTCACCCTTCCTCCTCCTCCTCCTCCCTCCTCCTCCTCCTCCTCCTCCTCCTCCTCCTCCTCCTCCTCCTCCTCCTCCTCCTCCTCCTCCTCCTCCTCCTCCTCTTCCTCCTCCTCGTCCTCCCTCGGGGCCACGTGTTGTATACTTCGGGGGACATCATTGCATGTAGTAAGAGTGGGGCATTCTCGGCCAGGACGCCACGCACACCGCTTTGCGGGAATGCGACCCCGAAGCGACCCGTGGGACCACCCCCCCCCCAAAAAGTGGAGGAGGGACAACTGTATGAAGTGCATCCACCGTAAGTGTGGAAAGGCCCCTCCCAGGTCACTGATGACGCTTTTCAGTGGCTGAATATCATTTCCATATAGCCTGACGTGTGCTGCAACTCGTTCGGCTTTGTCTCGTCTTTGGTTCGCTTCGGCTCTGGCCCCGATCCTGGACGGTTTTCTCCTCAGGACCTCTCGTCACTGCCAAGATGCTTCGGCTGGGCGTGCAGTGGCCTGGGGTCCCGATTCGTTTCGTTCTGTGCTCGACTGCGCCCGCTACGCTTTTACTGCCGCTCTGATCCGCCCTCTGTCTGACTCGGCGCGTCGTCATGTGGGCTTGCGAGTCCTCCTCCTACTCCTCCTACTCCGACGCCCCGTCCTCTTCCTTCAAACCTACCCGACGGCTTCTCAGCCCCCAGAGAGGAGGAAGAGGGTCCGAGGAGGAATAAGAAAGTGGATGGGGGCGCGGAGTTTGCGGAGGAAGAATAGGAAAACGACGACGACGCCGAGGCCAACCCGGAGGTCCACGAAAGCCTCCAGAAGCCCCGAAGAGGCCAAGACCGTCCACCAAATCTCGACCCTCGATCCTCGACGACTGCGACAGAGACGGCGACGGCGACGGCGACCCCGACGCCGCTGGCTAGCAACGCCGCTGGCGACGGCGACGGCGACGGCGAGGGCGGCGGCGGCGGCCGCGACGACGGCGGCGGTGGCAACGATGGCGATGGCGTCAGCGACGATGACGACTCCGACGGCCGCGATGAGGCAAGCCGCCGGCTGGCCGCGCCCGCCTGCTCCACGAGAGAACCCGCCAGCCCCACTGTGCCGGCGCCGCTCCCAATGCAGCTGCCGATCTCACCGTCGACGGCGACGGCGCCCTGCGGCGACAGCGACAACGGCAGCGGCCAGAGCTGCTGCGACGGCGGCGACGGCGGCGACGACGGCGGCAAATCCGAAAACAACGACGACGACAACGACGACGACGCCGACGACGCCGACGAAGACGACGACGACGACGACGACGACGCAGACGATGGCGGTGGCGGCGGCGGCGGCCGCGGTACCGTGCGTCGGCGCACGCGGCTCAAGGGTCCAGGGCGTAGTGGTTTTGCGTCCCCGTAACCGATCTTGGGAGAGTTTCCTGCGACACTGTTCGATCTTAGAATCCCTGGCATTCAAAGCTATTTACGTCAGCGGCTCGCCTTACAAATGCTTTTCTGCTCCCTGGAGCTCTGGCGTCAAAACTGTGTCCGTCATTGGGTAGTGTGGGGGAAGGAACCTTGACGTCAAAGCTGTGTTCGTCACTGGGCCGTCTTCGGGCCCTGGGGGCATATCGAAAGGCTTTTCGAAGCATCGTTGAGGCCTCTTAGTGGTCTCTTAGGGGGAATCGTGGCCAATCATGTGGGGCCTTCTCGACCGTCTTGAGGCCCTCTTGGGCAATCTTGAGGTCTCTTGGGCCGCCTTGTTCGATCCGCTGTTGCTTGGGGCGGCTTCCCTGATTGCCGCGCATGCCATGCAGCAACACGTAGGCCTCAGCACCCGGCCGCATGGTCAACAATATATCAACCTGCCTTGCCTTGTTGACGATAAAGGGGCGAATACGGTTGCAAATGATATGAACGTCTTTTTGCGACTGAATGCGCAAAGTGTTTACACTGGTGGACGGGTCTGTGTACAAGGTTGACCGTAACCCATGAAACACGAGACTCCGCAGGGCTTCCAGGAAAGAGACGTTTTTCTGGGTGATGCTGGCCGAGTAAAAAAATATCGGCCACCATTTCGAGTGCACGCGAAACAGCCATCTGAGTCGAAGAAGCCAGCTAGGTAAGCCAGAAGCTGGTCTTGATTAGAACAAACACCCATGAACCGAATTCTGTACAACTCAGCAGTCGTGTCTGATAGCTTCAGTGCGCGTACGGCGTACAAATCTTCTCTGAGCATTCGTCGCGCATCGTGTACAGACTGACTGCGACGGCGCCCGCTCTAGGACGCAGAAAACAAATGTTGGTGCTGCAGAAGCAGTTCGGTTTGGCATCTTTTGGTGCACAAACCACTATCGCAAAGCTCCTGGAGGATGGGGAACACTGCCATACCTTTAACCCGCCAAGTATATGTTGGACGCCAGTTTGCCTGCTTCAGTGCTGCTCCATGATACTCGTGCAGGACCCCTCCAAAAATGATTGTGGAAAGCTCCAATGGACAAACTGTTATCAACCGATATGCTGACGTCCAGAACACATCATCATGACACAACCGTCACCGTCAAAAAAACCACCTCGCCAATGCGGATGAACAACTGTCCCACCGCAATTCGACAGAGAACGATGGAATCGCCGCAGGAAGCGGCCACAATACCGAATCTTACCCGAAATCAATGCTCCTATGACCAAACTGGTTTCAGCCAACATCGCTTGAGCCCGCGTAACTCGGGGGCAAAAACGGCTCGAGCGAAAACAGCTTGAGCCAAAACGGCTACGGAGGCCTCTTGGGCCGTCTTGGGGCCCTCTTGATCCGTATCCAGGCGCTCTTAAAGGCCGCTTGGGCCGTCTTGGGTCGATCTTGGAAGCCCCTTGGGGCATCTTGGGCTGTCGGCAGCACGAGAAGGCGAAAATCGCTCAAAACCTCTAGAGAAATCAATGAGGTTTGCCTCTCGCGGCCCTCTTGAGGTCTCCAGGGGACCCGTTGTGGACCTGTTGGGTCGCATTGCGGACATAACTATTGAAGAATATTTGGGAGCCGTCCTTGGGCCCTCTTCTCCATCTTGGGGGTCGCTGCGAAGGCTTTGGGGCAGCCCGCGGCGTCTGGAGGAATGCGGGTGGCTAGCCAGGGAGTGGGAGGCCCCGAGGGCTGTCCGAAACGTGCCCAGGCCAGGGGGGGCGTCAGAAAACTGTCCCGGAATTTCGGGGGGAGGGGCATCCGTTATCTTCATGCGGGATGTTAAAATGCTATGTATATACATACATATACATAAATATCTATCTATCTGTATATATATATATACATCTACATATATACACTAGAATCATCGCGCGCTTCGCGCGCGCTCAGGTTCTACTTGAGGTCACCGCTCAGGTGCGATGCCCGCGACGATTCTTACCACGAAGACGGCGGCGTGCACTGCACGCCACGTGTTCCGGAAGCACCATGTTCCGGAGGAGCGTTCCCGGAGCATGGGGCGCTAGAGGCTCCCCCGGTCTCCCCCCCTTCCGGACTATCCTCCCGAAGAACTCTTGTGTTGCGTAGGCCCGGTCTTGCGGGCTCCCTGGGGCTCTCTGGGCCCGCCTAGGGCTGTTTGGGAGCGGACCTGGAGGCGCGCTGGGCCCTATTGGAGCGTCGGAAAGCCGAAAAGACAAGAAGGCCAAGATCCTCCAATTCCTACGTAAAATGAATGATTTTTAGCCTGTTGGGACCCTCTTGGGGGTGCTCCTGGAGGCGTCTTGAGCCATGTTTGAAGCCTCTTGGGAACTACCTGGGGCCTCCTGGGGCTCTCTTGAGGCGGAAGCCCTGGGTTTTCCGGACGCGGTCCGTCTCTTGGATACCTCTCGGGCCTGTTTTGGGGCACTCGTGGGCTGCCCTGGGCGCTTCTTGGGCCAGCCTTGGGCTCTCCGGGACCGCCTCGGGGCGGCCATGGGCGCTTCTGGACCTGTTTGGGGGCGGTCTCGGAGGCCTCCTGGGCCGCCTAGGAGCGTCGGACAGCCGCAAAGATCAGAAGGCCAAAACCCTTCCAAAACTGCTGTAAAACCATCAAAGTTTGACCTGCTGGGGCCCTCGTGGGAGTGCTCTTGGAAGCGTTCGGAACCATGTTGGAGGACTCTTGGGGGCTGCCTAGGGCCTCCAGGGATCACTGTTGAGGCGGGAACCCTGGGTGTTCGGTACGCGGTCCCTCTCTTGGGCCCTTCTTGGGTTTGTTTTGGAGCCTTCTTGGGCTGTCGTGGGCGCTTCTTGGGCCAGCCTTGGGCTCTCCAGGGCCGCCTTGGGCTTGTCTTGGGGGCCTCTGGGGCTGCTTGGGGGCGGACCTGGAGACCTCCTGAGCCGTCTTGGAGCGTCGAACAACCGAATTACTCCGACGGTGGGACCCCACATGAAAATATGTTTAGCTTACCCTTTGCCCTTTCCTCTTCCTCCTGGCGGACACCCTCTCCTCTCACCCCCTGCACTGTCCTCTCTTCCCCTTTCTATTTCTCTTCCTCCTCCTCTTTCTCCTCCTCCTCCTCCTCCTCCTCCTCCTCCTCCTCCTCCTCCTCCTCCTCCTCCTCCTCCTCCTCCTCCTCCTCCTCTTCCGATGACCCGCTCGGATTAATAACTTGATCTGCGGGCCCCATAGGGAGGAAGCTCCCGCCTGAGACTTCCTCGCAATTCACTCACAGACGAGGCTCCCGCCTGATACGTCTCCCATATTCAGGCCTCAGGAGCCCAAAAGTGACGACAGTTATAGGTTTCCGATGACCCGCTCGGATTAATAACATGATCTGCGGGCCACATAGGTAGGGGGCTCCCGCCTGAGACTTCCTCGCAATTCACTCACAGACGAAGCTCCCGCTCAAACTTCCTCCATATTCAGGTCGCAAGAGCCCAAAAGTGACGACAGTTGCACGTTGCGGATGACCCGCTCGGATTCGAACATGAAGTGCGGGCCCCATAGGGAGGGGGCTCCCGCCTGGGACTTCCTCACAATTCACTCACAGACGAGGCTCCCGCCTGATACTTCCTCCATATTCAGGCCTCAAGAGCCCAAAAGTGACGACAGTTACACGTTGCGGATGACCCGCTCGGATTCGAACATGAAGTGCTGGCCCCAAAGGGAGGGGGCTCCCGCCTGAGACTTCCTCGCAATTCACTCACAAACGAGGTTCCCGCTCGAGACTTCCTCCATATTCAGGCCTCAAGACCCCAAAAGTGACGACAGTTGCACGTTGCGGATGACCCGCTCGGATTCGAACATGAAGTGCGGGCCCCATAGGGAGGGGACTCCCGCCTGAGACTTCCTCACAATTCACTCACAGACGAGGCTCCCGCTCTAGACTTCCTCCATATCAGGTCTCAAGAGCCCAAAAGTGACGACAGTTGCACGTTGCGGATGACCCGCTCGGATTCGAACATGAAGTGCGGGCCCCATAGGGAGGGGGCTCCCGCCTGAGACTTCCTCGCAATTCACTCACAGACGAGGCTGCCGCCTGATACTTCCTCCATTTCAGGCCTCAAGAGCCCAAAAGTGACGACAGTTTCACGTTGCGGATGACCCGCTCGGATTCGAACATGAAGTGCTGGCCCCATAGGGAGGAAGCTCCCGCCTGAGACTTCCTCGCGATTCACTCACAGACGACGCTCCCGCTCGAGACGTCCTCCATATTCAGGTCTCAAGAGCCCAAAAGTGACGACAGTTGCACGTTGCGGATGACCCGCTCGGATTCGAACATGAAGTGCGGGCCCCATAGGGAGGGGGCTCGACTTCCTCACAATGCACTCACAGACGAAGCTCCCGCTTGAGACTTCCTCCATATTCAAATCTCAAGAGCCCAAAAGTGACGAAACAGGGGCTCCCGCCTACGAGGCTCCCGTTGCCCCAAGAGAGTGACAGATACACGTTGCGGATGACCCGCACGGATTCAAACATGAAGTGCGGGCCCCATAGGGAGGGGACTCCCGCCTGAAACTTCCTCGCAATTCACTCACAGACGAGGCTCCCGCTCGAGACTTCCTCCATATTCAGGCCTCAAGAGCCCAAAAGTGACGACAGTTGCACGTTGCGGATGACCCGCTCGGATTCAAACATGAAATGCGGGCCCCATAGGGAGGGGGCTCCCGCCTGAGACTTCCTCACAATTCACTCACAAACGAGGCTCCCGCCTTATACTTCCTCCATATTCAGGCCCCAAGA